ACATCGATTGCAAATGCTTGGTACATTCATAGAAAATGGGGCACAAAAAGTTTTTAAATATTTTAAAATTTAGAGAATAAATCATTGATCGGCTTTTATCAAAAGAAAAAATCAGTGCAATGGCCAATCAAATAAACATATGCTGGAATCATTTGAGGAATCGGCAAGAAAGTCTCGGAAACGCTGCAAGAATTGCTACAAAATATTAACTTTGAAAAAGGGCAGAACATTTGCAGCCAGTAGGGCAAAAAGAGTTACAACTTATTGCGCGCATTGCAAGGGAAAACCAGCACTTTGTTTACAGTGTTTCAACAAATTATACAAATAATGTTTTTGTAAAACTTGCAATATATTTATACAACTATTTGACCATGTTTATATTATTGAACTATTGAACTTCTATGTTATGTACATTATAACAAATAAAAATAAATATTTTTTGATAGAAATCTGTTAAATATTTAATATTTTAATTTACAGCATCCCATTGCATAACTAAGGGTTATATACCATAACAAAAAATAAATATTTTTTAATAAAAGGTGTGTTATATATTTAATATTTTAATTTTCAGCACCCCAAAGTAAAATTAAGTTTGTACCTCATGTGGTACAATTGCGATTGGTGAGACAGTCGAGCGTGGGCCACCGGTGGTACACGCCGCCCGATGGCACATGTGGTACACCGGTGGCACACCGACGTGAACGTGTTAAAAGGTCTTCGAGAAAATACTGGTAGAGCGTATCTACAAAAAGTATAGAGAAATGAGTATGTGCAACGCACGACAGTTTGGCTTCAAGGCAGGCGCCTCCACGGAAGACGCACTGCTAACTTTTAGAAAACCTTTGATAACTATGGTAGCCCGCCATCATGGTAAATATAATTAAAGACTACTTTAAAAAGAATAAAGCCTATGCAACAGGCAACACCAAAATGGTTAAGAAGAACATGCACAAGAGATGTCAACAAGAATAAAAAAATTTGACATGTTGCATAGAACTTCTGCATGGACGCTCTTCTAAAGAGCCTAACTCAGGTGGAAGAAAATGTAGAACCAGTTCCATAAGCAGATGAGTTGGCGCTTGTGATCGAAGGAAACTCCAGAGATGACTTGGAAAGAATTGTGTTAAATAATAAGGCATGTCGTACTACGGCAAACAATGTACTCCAAGCAATAAACGGCAAAGTGCCACTTGACTTAGAAGTCATATAGTGAGGAATCCAAAGGAATCACATTTAAATGTAGAAAAATAATGTTGAATATCCATGCCTTCGACATAAGCTCACCGTTTACTTTCCTGGCTCGGAATTACCTACTGTTCCAAAACAACATTTTCTCTCATGTTAAAAAAAAAAACAAATTTGAGAACGCAAATTACAGTTGCACATTAAAAGGATTAATTAAAGCTGGGTGTAACGATTTAAACATTTTATGAAACCCTTATTGAGGCAGAAGACAAAACGTATATCCAAAACGGCCTATAAAAAATTGGTTTGCTTTGCTTTTCATTGAAACCTTAAAGCTTTTTGTACCATAAACATAACCTGAAATATGTATTTTATTTATCCACGTGCACGTGGATGTTACTTATTCGACTAAAGTAATAACATATTCGACTAAAGTTTATATGAGACAAGCAACGACATAAAAAGTCAAACTTCACTTTCGCGATGTGCAGTATCATATATCGGCAAAAATAAATCTTATGTGACGTTAGATTTGTTAATTATATTAATAAACAGGAAAAAATTGCATGTATTATTGATTAGTATTTGTGTGTTGGTAGTTTTCCACTTATAAATATTGGTAAAAAAAAGAAAATACCATCGTATCTTACGCGTTACATCGTGTTGCTCATTGAATATTTAAAATTCGTTAAATGTAATTTATTGCATCAGTAATTATCTTCCAGCTATCAATTGTCGAGTGATTACGAATTGATTTTATTCAATATTACTTTTTCTTTACATAACATCCATGCTGCATGATATTCTCAATTTCCTTCGAAGTTAATTTAATTTCACAAATTTGGCGATTTATATTATACAAATGAGTATTTTGTTGAAGATTGAAAATAACTTGTACCAGATATCAGGCAAGTCAGGCGAAGGTCCAAAAATTTTATCATCATTACAATTGAGTTGGACAAATCCATCTTCACTAACTTGAATAATTTCTGAAAGTATTGAAATACCTTCGTTTGACAATAAATTGTATTTGATCCATGGTTAAGAAGTCCGTACAAATTAAAAATATCCTTCTGATTGATTATATATGGATGGTCGGTCAATTAATGCGTTTGATATAATACTATTAATTGTAATGATATTTTTTCCTCATACCTCAAAATACCATTGGATGTTTTAAATTCCTTCTTCGGTTATCATTTCATTTGATATATTGTATTGATCAAAGCAGGGAAACAATTTTTTATGTTCAATGAAAAATATATCCTTCACAATAAGAACTGAAATTCTAGGCACCCGCCTAGACAAATTGACAAAGACAGAGCGGTGTCTTCTTATCTGATTGAAAGCTAATTTCATAATCACTAGGAATGAGAGAACCTTTGAATATCTTGGACTGGAATGAAAGCTTACCAAGATAACATATACATGTGTCAAATAGTCAGGCACATCGTAGCAATCATTGCAATCATAGCAATCATTATAAATCAAATTTCTTTTTACCTCATCGCACCTGAACTTGTGACTCATGAACAAATGAAAAATTCTAATGACCTTCAGCCATAAAGTTTCTGATCACATCTCATTTGATATATAATTCAATTACAATATATATTAATTTCAAATTGTGCGGAAAACACCTTGCATTACGCACTAAATCCTCGTATCATTTGAATTAATATTGATTCCTTCCATGACATTTTTTATTTTTCATATTATTTCACGTAGAAGCAAAGCTGTGTATCATCAGCTTTATACCATATTCATACCGTCTTTCATCTTGAAATGAATGTGTCCTTATAATAAATATGAATCATTTTGCTTACTACTGTCGAACAATTTAAAAGATTAAATATCCATCATTCATTAGTAATTGTTGTTAAAATTAATATTATTGTATCTATTTTTGATATAACTGCAGTAGTATAATTAATAACATTGCTTTCACTTCAATTCACTAGTCCATTAAAATTCGTTTCATTATAAAATCTCCTGTTAGTAATATTTTCAAATTTGTTGTTTGCGTTCAACAAATAAAATTTTGTTTCAATTCCCATGCTTTTTAACAATTTTACATATTCAAAGACCACACACACATCACGAAACGAAAATCATAATTCGAGAAAACTACCGACACTTTACGATTAACAATACAAAACATAATTTGAGCACTTTGGCATATTGTACTTGAACTAATTTAACAACTCATTTTTAGATTTATTTACGCTCAACAAGAAACTCATGAACAAATAAAAATCAATACGTTCATACAGTAGCACATAAAATTAAACGATTCAATAATTAATTATCTATGAGGAAATATTTGTCGCTCGCAAACCATTTTCGAGAAAAAGTTATGCTTTTTATGTGGTGGTCTGCCTTGCAAAATTCTATCAAATCGATATACAATATTATTCAAATTTAACATTTGAATAAATTTTACTGGTTAATATATTTCAGGTTTTGTTTTCCATACAACTTTTCAGTTTCTTTTATATGTGTAATTTAACATTTTGGGTACATGATTTGTCGCCTCCTCAAAAATTACATTTCACTTAAAATCGTTAATTGTTACTCTCATAAAACTCGAACATTATGGATTAACAAATTGCATATGAAGTTTTGAAACGAAAATCGCGCTTCTGATAAAAACATTTGCAAATTTTTGTTATTTAATTATAGTTCTATATTGCTGTAATTATTGCTGTGATATATTTATAATTGAAGTATTTATTTCAGGAATGTACTAATTAATTATTGTTATTCTGCAAGATATGATGTTCCGAATTATTACTGTTCCAATTAATTCATTTACGAAGTATAACTCATATTTATTTTTACACTAACATGCTTTGTTACAAAGAAACATTCTCTAGACATGTTTTTGTTTGCGTTTTGCGTATTAATTACTAGTGTGTTTTGTTTCCACTGAAGAAGAGTCAAATTGGAACTCGAAACGTATGGATCTAATAAATGTATTTTAAGAAACATATCTTAGTTTTCTTTCTATTCATTATCTGAATAGATGACTGTTAAAAAGTTTGTGTTATCTATAAATTAATTTCTTGAAGGGCGTAACATCAAGCATAGAGCGGTGTTAGGTATTCGATACATACAAATTGGGAAACATTATTTGAAACATATTGGTAATTTTCGTAGAGAAAGGGAGTATCAGTTCGCTTATTAATACTAAGTTTGGCTAAGAAAATAAAAGTCGATTCCGCATAGCGTCTTTGTGAGACTTTCGACTCATGATAAAGAAACCTTTGCGTCAAAAAATTGAACGTATGGTTGTTATGTTTTAAATGTCTGCGATCATCGTTTGTCGTGTTGTTTCAAACGTTTAAGAAGTTTTAGTCCTGTTTCGCCAATATATCATATATAAATAGCAATCTCTAATCTCTCTAATAATAATAATCTCTAATCTCGACAACAGAATTATATTTGCAATTCCTGCGATTTGCTCTACCAATATTCGTAAATTTGAATGTAGAAATGCGGGCAGAAAAATCAAAATTTATATGATCAGATGATATTCACAGCAAATATGGGACAATTTTGGAATGTTTCATTCAACCGATATATTTGGAACTTTCAAACGAAGAGTTGAATACGATAAAAAATATTTCGAATGCCAAACAGCAAAAGGTATTAAGCGTAGATGTAAACGATTTGCAAATGCATTTACCTTCATTAGAAATATATGCTAGAGGAATGATTCCAAATATAATTCGGTTGAAAAGAGAAACTGAAAGATTAGATGAGGATGAGTTTAATATTGAGGCAGCAAACCAAATAAATTATCAATGGACATGTTTGAAGGTTTTGATGAATTTGAAATTGAGGAAGTGTGCCTTCATTCAGCATTAAGGCATGGTGATAGCATTTTATGTGTGAGTTTAAATATTTAATAAAGTAGACAATATATATATATATATATATATATATATATATATATATATATATATATGTATATATATCATAGTGTCAATTTCTGCTATAGCAGTAATCCGAGAACTTTCTTTTAAATTATAATTTAAAAAAAACACTGGTCTGGTATAGGTAAACTCATTTTCTTTGCTATAGAAAAAAGCAGATCCTCTATCCATACTGTTTCTCCTTGGGCCAGTTAAGAATTCAATAAAAACTAATCAATCCTGGTCGTGCTAATTCAAAAAGCTTTTAAATTTTTGAAATCGGTTCAGCATTTATTGACAAAACATCGACAAAAGCTCAAAAAATGGCTCACAAACATACTTATTCCAAAACTTGTCTCAAACGATTACTATCGAGTGAAACTTCTTAGGCGACTTTAAACAAGGTTGCTTTAAATGTTCAATGCAAAGTGAGCTAATATTTGAATAATGATTGTTTTAGAATGCCATAGATTAGGAATGTTGAATTTTGTTTTAGATTTTTTTTAGAATGTAAAATGTTTTTCAAATGTTATGGATTATTCCATAATTTGTAGAATATTTATTAGAACATTGTAAACTGTTTGAAAGTGTTGCATAGTCTTTGAAGGTCTTGCAGACTGCCCGTAAGCATTGCGATCTCATTTTCACATTACGAAGTTTCTCTTCTTTTGCAGAGTATCACTTCTATTATTTTTATTGTTTTTTTTTTTTTTTGTAGGAAGATGAAGGATTTCCTTCGCTCCTCTCAAAAAATAAAAAACATAGAAGCTTTAAAATTGAGTTTTGTCAGTTCTTCAAAAATGTCATAAATAGGGGTGGAAAAGAAATAATTTATGATGATTTTTTATACAAAATCTGACCTCAATCTTGAAACATTTGTCAAGATTGGGTCAGAAAAATATACGATACACGAGAACAGTGGCAGGTAAATTGTATTCGTGAGAATGATTTTTATACGTAGACTCTTCTATGGATTTTTAGATATTTTTAGATATCTATATATTTTACACATTTCTAGACAATTTCAAAAATATGTAGCCATTTATAGATATTTTTTTTAAATTTTTGTACATTTTTAACCCTTGCCAGTAGGCGACATATACATTTATGTATGTATATCTAGACATTTTTGTACATATTAAAATTTTTTAAGTTACATTTAAACATCACTAGACATTAAAAATTAATACATTGGCAAAAGAGTTGAAAAAATATTTTAAAATTACCATTTGAATTACTGATTTTTTATATGTCTATTCAGGCTTGTCCATAACTACAGAGTTGGCAGGGTTACTTCAACAAGCGGCTTCAGAAATGAATCGGTACTCGAAGCTAATTTAGGCCGAAGAAGCGAAGGAGACGAAGCGTGATCTGAGTCGCTTTAAAATCCCTTCACTCAGAAAGGAATAAATTAAATGAAAAGTATAGGGAACTAGAATTGTGTATCAAGTCCCTATACAGGAATATAATTTATAAACGCATGAAGTAAGATATTTTGACATTTATGGTCTAATTCTCGGATAACACAGCTAAGTTTTGTTTGTAGACTCCTGCTTTAACATATCATGTCTTAAATAAGCATATGTTCAGGATTATGTATTCTTGGACCACGTCGTGTAGGAGGCACTCTTTTTTCGATTGAAGTGAATGGGTCCTATTCAGTTTCCTTTTCTTTTCATGATCGTTCTCAGTGAAGTCTTTTATGGACTTATTCTTTTGTTATCTTGTCAGTCCACTTTATTTTCTCCATTCACATGTCTCCTGCGCACCACATTTTAAAACTCTCTAAATAGTTCTTGTCGGCTTTTCTTAGAGTCCGTGTCCCTGATCCGTAAAGAGCTATACTCTAGACATAACATTTTTTTATCAATATCATCCACAAGTCGAGACTTGGTTGGTTCTCAGTAGTGTTCTCAACTTCGCAAACTCCACCTTGGCGCTTGCGATCTTTGTCCTGATGTTTCTCGTGCTGTATTCGTTTCTGGTCAGAATGCTTCCTAAATATTTGAAATGATCAACGTCTACCAATTTTTGATTTTCTACTGTTATCTTCAGAGTATCATCTCGTTTTGATACTCTCATCACTTCCAATTTGTTGATGCTGATTTCCGTTCCATATCTTCTACCCATTTCGACGATTCTGTCCATCATGTTCTGCAGCTCGGTTTGGTTTTTTGATATTACCACTAGATCAATCATTTTGCCATATAAAATAAAATATGTCACCAGGAATAGCTGTTATACCTACCATAATTCCTTGAACCGCATAAGTTAAAAAATATTTTTTAAACATCAGTTTATTTACAGAGATACTGTACCTGTGACAAGAAGTGTGTGCATATGTGAATTGGGCCGCTGGTTGAGATAACACCCGGGACTGTTTCAAAATGAGTGGAATTTGTGACTTATTGCATATTTCGTCTATGACGAGGTATATATATATATATATATATATATATATATATATATAATAAATAAATGGTAGTTTTTCATCCATGCTTCCTGATCCTGCACTTCGGTTTTCAGTACCCTGTATTTTCTCTTTACCAATCCCTTCAGCCCTTCTATTTTACCATCCACGACGTCGTGCAGGAGGCACTCTTTAGAACAGAACGGGTCCAATCCAGTTTCCTTCTTTCTTCAGGATTCTTGAAAAGGCCGATCTTGAAATGTCAAGAGAACATAAAAATCTCCTCAGGCAGTTACTAATAATGATTTTTTCCATATCTTCACAGGCTGCATCAGTACGAGCAAACGCTTTGAAAGCCTTGATCCCGTTATATGAGGACGATGAACTAGGAAGAAAATTAAAATTGTTCACACATAAATATCAACAAAGACTTCTTAGTTTATCTTGGGACAAGAGCCGATGCAATCAAGCGATTGCAATAAAGCTAGTCACAGCTATGTTCAGGTGAGAGTTCAGAATAAAAATGTTCACTTAATAGACATATGCATGAAACTTTTGATGGTGATAACCCAGTAAACACCCAACGGTAGTAGCAATCTTATATTACAGCTGTTCAAAAAATAATAGTATATTGCCAGCGATAAAGTAAAAAAATACAAGCAATGAATGAATGTATGTTAATTCTAATTGAAGAGTGAAGTTGCAAAAACAATATTTGTTTAGGCGTTGTTTGACATAATCCACTGTCTCAACAAATATAGAAGTTATTAATCAGCAATTTATTAATCTTCATTTCTCTAATGAAGGTTCATTTCTAAATGATAATTACAATGACAAACCGATCATGTCATATTTGAAGTATGACTTTAATTACATTATTGTTTTTAAATATTATAAATATTTTAATGCTATTATAAATATATAATTTATAATTTTTTATTATATAAATGTGTATATATAATGGTTGACGCTATGGGTTGAAGCCCCTTTCTGGGGTATTGCAATGACTGCCGCTTATTATATTTTAGCATTTCCCCATTACGAAAGGTGTACTTCAACTTCTTAACCCAACTTCTACGAATGCCCTGTAATTACCTGCTAAGACTGATATAGCTAATTATCCATTTTTGTCCATTCAGATCCTATCCGTACTTATTCAGTAGGAAAGACTTGAACACGGTTTCAAGTTTGATGTTCTCTCCAAATCGAAAGGTTGCAGTGGCAGCAGGCACATTTTTTCATCATGTCTTTTTAAGATTGGATGAAGATTCAAATGGGGCCGAGTTTGGGGTTCGATGGTTCAGATATGTTTCAACTTCCACCATTGAATTGCAAGTAAGTAAAATATGTATATATGATAGTCATGTGGATGTCGTATAAATATTTTTTTTGAATCTTTATTCTTTATTTTGATTATTTTTCAGGGTTTAAATTTTATTTCATATCTAGTGGATGCCCTAGTTGCAAACATTGAGATAATGAAAGATTGGAATTCGATGATACATATTTTAACTCAAGAAAATGATGATCCTTTGACCCCAATCCCCCAACCTCAAGAAATTTTAATTGAAATTATGTTTTGGTGTGCAAGTCTTTCAAGTACTGGTAAATATCCAGGGGAGAGAGCAACTGATAATATGGTAATATTGCATTTCAATGATGCATATATAAAACTGAGGTAACTTGACCTATTTTAATGTACTGGCGGGGGGTACTTACGGAAGCGACAAGAATAAGCATTTTCCAGAAATGATCTCAAGTTGCAATATTCGCAACGAACCCGAATATGGTCGATAATTACAAGTGCAGGACTCTACTTAATTGATATGCAGCTGCTCTTCTGGTCAATTAAATAAACAAAACGCTCTTGGTCTCCAGACAATTTGATTTTTTTTTGATTTTTGGACGGTGTATGAACTCATGACCAATGGAATAGTTTTGTGGGAATCAGTTTGTTGCTTTTAGTACTACACATCTGTTTCCTTGATGTGATATTATAGCATGATAGTCGTCAAACGTTTAAGGCAATAATTTATAAGTCCAATTAGAAGTACAACATTAACTAAATCTAAACCGATGAAGTAAAAGTACCCTGCCCTGGTTTTAATGTCAGTACATGCAAATGGGTAAAACTATCCAGTTGTTTCTTCTTCTAGTGTGTTGATTATATGTTTAAACATTATTTTTTATTTCTAAATTTCATTAGTTTTCATATTTACAGGTCCCAAGTTTAAAACAAAGAAAACAAATGAAGGAAGAAAAATTAAATATCACAAAACATCTAATGCCTATGATAGCAATTCTGTTGGCTCGCTTCAAAACCAATGTGAATTGTATTATTCATTTGATCAGAATACCTCAATATTTTGACCTCGAAAATATAAGTGAGATGGAAGATCTGGTTAGTATTTTAATTTTTTAATTACTTGTCTTTGTGCTTGAATTGCCACCAGCAGGAGTATATATTTTAACGAGAAATTTTAATTGCATATGGGAATGTTGATGCATCTTGCATTTGTAGTTTTTCTGACTTTTTAATATATACTTACTAGTTTTAATCTAGTGTTTTATGTTTACAGCATTTAAGGAATTTATTGGGCGCTCTGCAAAACATCGCCCAGGAGTGTACCGACACAATAGTGTTAGACAACTGCAGCAAGACTTTGCATTGCCTTTATAAAAGAATAAAGAAAAGGGCAAGAAGCATTGTTGCAGATTGCGATGCCGCCATATCGACCATTGTCGACGAATGCGCATTTGTATATATGGAGCCATATCTTGTATGGCTAAGTATTGTGAATGGGGTACGAATTACATTTTTGTCATGTGTAGAAAGTTGTCAAACAATTCATCTCTTGAACAGAAATAATTTTTCTTTCTAGCAAATGGATCCAAAATATGCTAAGAAAGAGTATTTTCTCGGATTGTAAATTCTCTGAAGAAAATATACATTTTCCACTATTTACATAACATAAATTATTTAAGATATATGGGATGATTTTTTAGAAGAATTTAAAGTGTTTAGGAATGGTGTCATTGAAAGAAATCTTCCTATCGAGGTATGTCAATTAGATCAAAGATTAAACATAACTAATTTAACTAATTCATACTACTATCAAAATATATTTTAGGGATCGATATACTGCCTACTTACCTACGGCACATGTTTATCTTGGAAATTGATGGAAGTAAAAGATATGGATCTAAATAATATGGTACTCAATGCTATGGCTTGTATGAAACGAGCCGATGTATTGAAGTTAAAATTGAAAAAATATATTGAAATCTGCAAGGACATCGTAAAAAATGTCACTCATGATGATCTGCAACAAGCTGTAAGTTGATTTGAAAAAATCAAAATTTTAAAGCAATACTAATTGTAAGGCAAATTTCAATATTGTTTTAAACTATACATGAACTACTTGTCTACCTGTCCACCTGTCTCCAACTTCTTCAACCTTCAACTTGTCAACAGTTTTACCTTGCTGCCAACCTGTTAACCTGTTAACCTGTTCACAACTCTTCAGTTCGCACGTCTAACTGTCCATCTGATTGCCTGTCTATGTATGAACCTGCTACCTACAAGTCTACTTGAAAACCAATTTAGCTCTATCAGTCTGTTCATGAATGGGAATCAAATGCTTTTTGAATAATTCAAATCCAATAATCGGTGGCTCCGGGGTTGTCCAAAAAAAGTATCCTTATTAAATTGTATTATCAATAAGGTTCATAAATAGTAGATTGGGCTAATTCATACCAAATGATTTTTATTTTGTTCATAATTTTAACCATTTCTGGTAAAAATATTGATTGAAGTAACGCTTACTATGTCCAATCCAAGCCTAATCAAAAATGTATGGGAAAGCGTCATGTCAGGTTTGGACGACATCTTCATTTCTCTAATGAAGGTTTATTTCTAAATGATAATTACAATGACAAACCGATCATGTCATATTTGAAGTATGACTTTAATTACATTATTGTTTTTAAAATATTATAAATATTTTTAATGCTATTATAAATACATAATTTATAATTTTTTATTATATAAATGTGTATAATGGTTGACGCTATGGGTTGAAGCCCCTTTCTGGGGTATTGCAATGACTGCTCCATTATAATGTTTAATAAACAATATTTCATTCCAACTTTCTGAAAAAGAATATGTTTTTATCAGCAAATCCTATTTGCTAATTTTGTGTTCTCAACGTTTCAAGTTATTTTGAACAATTTGCCACTAAATTTTTCAATGTCAACGTTTTTATTGTATTAAAATATTAATCGTGAAGTTCATTTTATCAAGCAAAGATAAGCCCGAAAAGCCATTGAATCACTTGTCGACAATGTTGGAGAAAATTACACTTCATCTTCAAGAAATGAAGGAAAATCAAACTGAAATTTGTATGTTTTCAGTTTCAGACGAAGAGGAGCAATTGGCAGTGATACCATTGAAGAGTCTAAGCGAAATAGAGGAGTTTGAAAAAAGGTTGAAAAATGAAAAATTTGCTTTGGACCTCGTAAGATATATGTATATATATATAATATATATATATATATAATATATTATATATATATATACATATATATATTGTATATGTTATATATAACAATATCAATAAAATCTTTTACATAAAAGTTACTCATCTGAAATATCAAAGTCAATTTATACATTCTGCTTGGACATTTTTTGAAGTTCATATCCCAATTTCAGCAAAAATGTGTAAAGTGTCAAACATTTGGTAATATACTTCTAAAGACTTTAAAATTATCTACGAATTGATCTAATAAAATTATTTTAAATCTTATATATCGAAAAAGATATTTACATCTAAACAACTATACACAGATTGTGCATTCAACTTGAACGGTTTCAAGTTTATACCAAAAACTGCAAAAAAATTAAGTTTTATGAGATCGAAAAATTATAATTTATCATTGAAATAATAATTTATATTATTTATATAATAAAAACAAATATATGCAAATGCACATTAATTAATTAACGTATTAATAATTTAGTACGAAATAATATTACAACGTAATTGGAACCACGTATTTCAGAAAATTAAATTTTGTATAGTCTGATTTCAAAATTGATGAAATTGAATAGTCCAATGTACAAAACTTATGCAATTTAACCAGATAACTGCAATTGACGGATATACTCGTCATGAAGATGTGGCAGAATTTTTTGTATTGACGAGTATAGTCGTCATACGAATAAAACTGTCACCATTTGCTATTTTAATTACATTTATTGAAAAGAGCTAAAAATATTATGAATGTTCATGTCCCTTAGAATATTCTGAGGCTATGACTGTACTAGGCTGTAGTTTTTTTTATATATATAAATAATTTAAATTATTATTTATAATAATTTATATATATATATATGTATATATATATATATATATATATATATATATATATATATACGGGGTTTAACAACATACATAGAGAATAGTATGAAAAAATTCCAGAACACAATTTTGAATTTTATTACTTTTATATGTTACGAACACATTAACCATTTCAAAAACAAATGTTTTAAAAATTATTCATAAATAATTTTATAAAATTATATCTTGAATGAGGTAATTTATATAGAATATATTTTTGAAATTTTGGAAATTTTGCTTTTTATACTTTTTTATATTTTTTTTATTTTCCAGGCGGAACCGATTATAAAAGTATTTTGAGGTATTGCTGCAGTTGTCCTAATGGATTAAGGACTGTTGGTTGCTGCTCCCACACTGCGGCAATTATATATTATCTGTCATTTGCAAGATATTTAGCACGAATTATTCGCCCGGCTGAAATATTATCAAAAATATTTATAACAGAAAGAAGTACAGTTTCTATTAACAATGATAGCGGCTACGATTAAAAGTGTCTTAATAACTTCGTAACTTAACTTCCATATTACTATGGTAAATATAGTGACTATTTATTTATGTATTTCTATCGTTATAAAATAATATACAGTAACAATATAAAATATAAAAAGCAAATAAAGTTTTAGGTATAATTTGAAAACAAAAAAAAAACATTGTATATAAATATATAACCACAATAATTATATACAGAAATATATGAATAAAGAAGACATAAATGTATATATCTAGTTTTATTTTTTAAATAAGTATTACCTTTATATAGAATATGTTCCGATGCGCGCCAAGCGCAATGTGCACTGGTTTGCTATTGAGAGACGCAACTTACACGGATATTCTACGGGTTCCGCGTGTACTACCTTCGGTTTTTTCAACTTTTTATAATTTTTTCTATTTAAATATAATTTTGGATAATAAAAGTAAAATATACAGGCTTTAAAATGATGCTATTTAGAAAGTAGTCAAATTAACCGTACTGGTCGAAAATTTCAAATAAAAATTTATTTTCAACTTTTCATCCAGTAATTGACAATTTTTTAACATTATTCATTATAAGTAATATAGACAAGATCAGTACAAATGGAATGACGTAAACAGTTTTTAGATATCTATCATATTTCCGACAAAAGTGAGTTTGAAAAAGGGGCCACTTTCACATGTTTTCACTGATATCTCGGCCAAATGATAAGCTACTGATTTGAAATTTGGTATTTCGAATTTTCTCGAAAATACCTATAAAATGGCATCAAAATAATTTAAATACCAGGGTGGGGCCAATTCTGTATGGAAACACGCCCAGACCCTTTATAACTTAATTCATAAATTGATATCAAAACTTTGTAAATATTAAATTAAATTTGTAACGATATTAAATAAATAATTTCTGAATAAAAGGACTATTAGCCAATTGAATATTCTAAAGCATTAATTTATTAATATTGGGTTAATGTAAACAATTACGTTGTTTTCATGTTTCATCAACATCAGTTCAACATGCGATTAAACGCGTTACAAAAATCGCAAATGTCGCGTCAAAAATCGCAAATGTAACATTACTTGGCGCTCGTTTAACTTTCTACGCAACAAAAATGACAGCGGCGTGGCGATAGCTCACATCGCAGGCGCAATATTGTATCCACATTGTTTAGATGTAATTTTGTATACTGGGATATATATATACATTTTGCCAAAAAAAAATCATCTTTTCAGAGGTAGCTCATTTTGATCTTGGCGGGTATGTAAACAAGCAAAATTGTCGCATTTGGGGCACAGAAAACCCGCACGCATACATTGGAAAGCCGATGCACCCTGTTTGGTGCGGATTTTGGTCCAGAGGCATAATTGGCCCATTTTTCTTCGAAAATGATCAAGGAGTGGCCGTTACAGTTAATGGCAATCGTTATCGGGCCATGTTGAACGAATTTTTGTTCACAAAAATTGAAGAGGAGGATATTGGCAACATTTGATTTCAACAGGACGGCGCTACGTGCCACACAGCCGAAGCTACACTCGATGTTTTGCGCCCTGTTTTAAAGATCGCATTATCAGCCGCAGAGCTGATGTCGTTTGGCCACCTCGGAGCTGTGATTTGACACCGTTGGACTATTATTTGTGAGGTGCCGTCAAAGATAAGTGTTACGCCGACAAGGCAGAGACAATTGACGCTTTAAAGGACAATATTCGTGAAGCCATTGGTGAAATACAGCTGCACACAATCGATAATGTACTTTAAAAATTAGACCGACCGACGAGGCAGCCATTTCAATGAAATTATTTTCCATTATTAACCGGAAGGATTGTACTTTGAAATAAAAAAAGACATTTGAGAAAATATTCAGTAGTTTGTTTTTTATAGCATCTCAAAAAAAAAGTTATTTGGCGAACCCTATATATAGAAAACATTGCTTAAAATTATTTAGTAGTACTATTATAATCGTGGGATTAAGTTCCATTAGTGCAAAATTAGAAATCTGACGAAGAAAATATAGGTACATATTAGTTTTTCGTAGTATATTCATTCATAATTAGCACTGTTGCGCCCGCTGCACACCCTATATCGAATATTGTATTAGTATGCATACCACTAGCTAGGACAAGCGAAGGGTATCGGAGATACCCGAAGATATCCAAAGGAGTCAGACCTAGATTCACATGCAGGATTCACTATCTCTTAGAATCACGGATCGGCGATACCAAATCAAACTAAATAGCATTTTATATCATTATTTGAGATTATTGTACTTAAACTAAATAAAGTTTGTCCATTAGTCTATAAGGACTTGAAGTGTTTTCCTCTATTAAATCTCCGAGCAAGGCAACTTAATACAAACATTGGTGGCAGCGGTGGGATAAAACCTTAAACTACCGGAAAAAACAGGCCTGGAGAATGAGGAAACACAGAAAAGTAAGCAAGGGAGCTGATTCCACTGGAAAAAAGCAAG